AAAAAAGAAACTGGACATCCTTGTCTTGTTCCTGATTTTAGTGTGAAGGATTTCAGTTTTTGACCATTTAGTATGATGTTGGCTGTTGGTTTTTCGTAGCTGGCTTCTATCAGTTTGAGGTCGAGACCATCTATTCCAATTTTTTGTAGGGTTTTTATCATAAATGCGTGTTGGATTTTGTCAAAAAAAATTCAGATGGGTTCAAAGGGAAAGGACAGTTTCATGGCTCACAAAATTAAAAATTAGCACTTCCATCATGTAGTGGTGGTTCATGCAGTAATGTCACCAAGTCCTGTTCCTATCTCTCTCTTTGCTCAGTCTTTCATAGCTGGCTTTCTCTTTGGATTCTGCTTCATTGCAAAATGGTGGCAAGATTTCTAGATGTTGCCTTTCCTCCCTGTACTGTCACTCAAGAGTGGTTCATCTAGTAGAGTTTGAGATTCATGCTCTCTCCTTAGCTCAAACTGTACTCCCTCTTGATCTCCAACGTGGTCACTGTGACCACTGCTGGAGATAGGGAGGGCATGCTGATTTACCAAGCCTGCCGGAGCCCAGCTCCAGAGCTGAGGTGGAGTGAATGAGGTCAGTGGTGCCACAACAACCAGGTGTGTTGATCCTGGTTGAGAGATGGGTGTTTCAAAGGGAAAATTTGGGTGCTGTTAGAGGAAGAAGAAAGTAGGTGCTAGGGGAGTCAGCCAACACCAGATCCAGCTTCCTTTCTCTTGCAGGTTGTGGACCCTCTCTGTTCCCAACATTGAAGCACCGGTGCTGCATGCACCGGTTTTAATCTCAGCTAGGCAGTATTTTCTTACACCTCCATTCTTTTCTGTTAGTATTTCAGGGGCTGGGGCCATAGCTCATCACTTGCCACAAAACCTCCACCTAGTCTCACGCTCATTCTCATTGCAGCACTAATCTATAAGGAAAGTAGAAGTAATTACACAACCATATCATTTCTACCACTTGCTCATCCTATTCACAAACTTGTCTACACTTGTACTTATTCTTACCTCTTCTCAGATATCATATTTAAGACAGTCCAGTCTGTGTAATCTTAGATTTGAGGTTGACAAACTGCAGCCCTTGAGCATGTCACATGTTTTTGCAAATAAAATTATATGAGGAGACAGCTCTACCCATTTGTTTAAGTATTCAGTCTGGCTCCTTTTTCAATACCATGGCAAAGTTGAGTAGTTGGAGTAGAGATTATGTGTGTAACCTGCAAGGACTATTATATGTCCTTTGAACTATTATATGTCCTTTGAAGTTAAAGATCACTGATCTCTGTCTTAGAACCCAACGCAATCACCTCACACGGTCAAGGCTGATCTCCCTCGTTTTTGACCTTGTTCACTTCCATTTCTTCACATGATTTAGATTTTCCTTCTGTCCTCAGACTGTCTGCATTGGCTACCTCTTCTTTCTTTCACCAGTGTGTTCAAGAATAACAGCGTCAAGCAGAACAGAACAGAACATTCCTTTACTCTTGCAACATTCTCTACTCCATCTTAGCCAAAAGGCTGAGAAGCAATGATCTTTCAGCATCCTCAGACCTTTCCTCATGTCTCATCTTCCCTTCTCATTCCAAGTTGTTTTAAAAAGCACCAGCTATCATGATCGCTTGCATATTCTTCTTTTTTCAGTCACTTCTCAAGCAACTTCAGTTTCACTTCTGTCCTCACTATTTGCTGTTAATTAGTTTTTGAAATCAGTTTAATTAATTAAGCAATTTAGTTAGTTAATGAAAATATTTTTGGGGGAACCACTACATGCCATGATCTGTACTGGGCTCTGAGGACGCAGCCATGAGGATATTGAGAAATTCTTGCTGAATAGAACTTATAATCTAGTAGGGGAAACAGATAATGATCAAAATAAATAAGGAAAGAAGCTGATCATGGGGGTGCATGCCTGTTATCCCAGCCCTTGAGAAGCTGAGGCAGGAGGATCAACACAAATTCAATGCCAGCCTGGGCTACATAGTGAATTCAAGGACAGCCTGGACTACATAGTGAAATGCTGTCTCAAAACAAAACAAAACAAGTTATCCCAATAAGTAAAGAGACAGGTGTGATGGCACATAGCTGTAATCCCATCATTCTGAGGCAGTAAGACCAGAAGTTCACATCCAGCCTGGACAGTTTAACCACTTAGCAAGAACCTGTCTTAAAAAAAAAAAAAAACAAGAGATGTGGCAAAGACCCCGTATTCAGACCTCAGTACCACAAAAAAGTAAGCTCTTCAGTATTTTTGAAAGTGATAGATGGTATGGAGAAAAATCCATGTGTAGTGAGATAGGTGTGCTGGTGGGGATGTGGGGACCACTTTTAGAATGGAGGTCAGAGAAGGACTCACTGAGAAGAAGGTTCGTGAGAAAGGACCCACAGGAAGTGAGCCCTGGCTGGGGAGCATCAAGGGAAAGGGCCAGACGGAGGGTGTGTTTGGGATGTTCCAGCACCGGCAAAGACCAGTATGGCTGGAGTGAGTAAGAATAAAGGGCAGAGTGGGATGAGATGGGTTCAGAGTGTAATAGGGGATGCGTGAGGAGCTGTTGTTTAGGGCCTTGGATGCCATTCTAAACATTTCGGCTTTTTCTCTGAATGATTCAGGACACTACTACTCCAGGGTTCTGAGCCAAGAAACGATGTGATCTGACAGTGTTCTAAAGGGATCCTGCTGGCTGCTTTGAGGGAAGCCAGTTAGGAGACTGTTGTGTTTATTCAGAGATGATGGTGGCTTGGATATAGTGGTGCTTATTGGAGCATTGTTCCAGTTCTGATTATATTTGAAGGCAGAATATGATGCAGATTAGATGTGGTATGTGTTACATAGAGAATAAATCCAAGAATAAATCCAAGGTTTTGGGCTTAAGCCACTGGATAGATGGAATTATTGTAAACTTAGATGAAGAAGATTGTACAAGCAAGTTTTGGAATGAAGACCAGGAATTTATTTGGGGACACACTAAGTTTGAGATGCCCTTGAGACATTCAAGTGCAAATGTCTAGTGTTGAGTTGGATATGTAAGTCAGGAAATCAGTGGGAAAGGTCAAGGTTGGAGATAAACATTTTCCAGTCAGCAAACAGATCACAATTAAAAGCCACAAGACTTAATGAGATCATAAAGAGCATGCTGAGATAAGAAGTATACAGCTCTGAGCTCTGAGGTACTCCAATTTTAAAAAGATGAGGAAGTGAGAAGGGACAGAGGCTAAAGTAAGAGTCAGGGAGACAGCAGGAAAACCAGCAGGTATGGTCCTGGAGAGTGAGGAAAGTGATCAGAAGAGGAGGAAGGGAGGATGGAATTAAATGCTACCAACAGGTCAAGCACAGTGAAGATGTAGACTTCACCACTGGATTTACATATATGGGTGGGGCCAAGGATTTAGCTCAGTGGTTTTGCCCCCTGCTGTGCAAGTGCAAGGACCCAAGTTCAATCCCGGGTACCAAAAAAAAAGAGAGAGAGAAATCATACATATATGGGTCACTGGTGACCTTGTTTTGAACCATTTTGGTGGAATGTGCATATGGAAGCCTGACTGGCATGTGTTCAAGAAAGATGAGCTGAGAGGCACTGGTGACAAGGAAGATAGAAACATTTTAGGAGTTCTGCCACAAAAGGCAGCAGAGAACACCCTAATTAACAAGCTCAGACACCTGCCATTTCTGATTTTGTTTCTCTCTTTTCTTTGACACTAGGCACCATCCTTTCTTCTGGTTTCTCAGACTTTCATCTGCCAGTATGTGCTTCTGTATGCCTGAGGAGTTTATGTGAATCTTTCGTGCACCAAACGGTATCACGCAAGGAAATTAATATCCCTGGGATATTAATTGGCAGATAAATACCTCAGTTCCTTTGCCATTTAGTCGGGCATGTATGAGGGTACTTCTGAAGCTGGTGGTTTTATACCATCACCCAGTGTATCCATGACAAAAAAGCTGCATTGCCCATGGCGTTAGCCAGGCGGGAAGGTGCAATTGCTACTGATTGTCTTCCCTTCCTTGCCCCACCTCCCCACTCCTGGATGGTGTTCTCTGTAACTTGCAAATAAATTCTTTGCAATTGACTCTTTGCTTCATTGAATCCACTTCAATTGAATCCACTTCTGGGGGAACCTAAATTAAGACACTGTATATTCAGATATAATCTAATATTTAATGAGCTCACATGGCTCTCTGTTAATAAACACTAAGTTTATAGTTTACACAATTTGTGATTAAAAGCCTCTTTTTAACACGTAATTTTGGACCAATACTGTCAAGGCATTAGAAAATGGGACGATCTAGACAACTTCCTTTTTGCAAATAATCCCTAGGCTTTTCTTTCTACCTGTGGAAATAAACATATATTTGCCCTTTGCCCCGGGTTCCTGAAACAGAACTTCTAATCTCTTGTGATTTCCAGAGTTATAGGGGTGATAGGAGGATCTTTTATTATGCATAAGCCCCTTTAAACCATATCCAAGTTTATGCTACTAAGGTGACTCTTAGTGGGTCTGCAGGCAGACTCTGGAGGGTGGCTGGTTGCCAGAGAAACCAACCACGTGGAACTTTCAGCCCCACCTCTGGACTTTTAGGGAAAAGGGAGGGATTGAGATTGGGTTCAATTACCTATTTCCACTAACTTGTCAACCATGCTGTCCTAATGGAACCTCCGTAAAACCCCAGTAATGGTGTTCAGAGAGATTACAACTGGTAAACACATGGAGCTGCTGGGAAGGTGATGTGCCCAGAGAGGGCATGGAAATTTCATTCTTTCCTCTATACCTTCCCTGCACCTCTCTTATTAGCTCTTCATAATAGACTAGTAGTGCAACTAAAATGTTTTTCTGAGTCCTCTAAACTATTCTGGCAAATATTGGACACGAGAGAGAGGTTGTAAGAACCCTTGTCTTATAGCTGTTTGGTCAGAAGTACAAGTGGCAACCTGGGTCTTCCGACCTGTATCTGAAGTGGGACAGTCTTGTGGGACTGAGACCTTGATATGTGGGACTGAGTGATTACTCCACACAAATTGTGTCAGAATGGAATTGAATTGCAGGACACCGAGTTGATGTTGGCAGAGCATTGTTTAGTGTGGGAATCGCCTATCACTTTGGTTGGAAGTGTGAGTAGAAACAGTACCAAAACTCAAATTCTTAAAAAAAAAAATCTTTGTTTCCTGAATTTGGAAGGCATTAGCACACTATGTGCATTGCTGGGTATGGGGCTGAGAGCGAAGGTTTAATTTCATACATTAATTTTGCATCTGTGATCTCTAGTCATGTAAAGTCCAGGAAATTATTAATGAGAGTAATGCTCTGGGTTCTTAAGTGATTTTGCTTTTAGAACACTTTATGAGCATTAATTATTCAGCCTAGAGTCTGTGAGGTAGACAGATGATGGTTGGAATAGTTACTTAACTCCTCAGGAGAGACGGTGATTTTTCCCAATGCAACACACTCAATCTCAATTAAAATATGAGACTTCTTTATAAGTATGTAAAACATACTGAACACACTCTGTTTTTTTATACATACTTCCCTTCTCTCTATTCCTGTAGAACTAAATATGTTATACTTCTAAAATTCTCTGAGAGCCTGCCCATTTTAATTGTGGAGAATTTTGCAACAGGAGTTGAGCCTTGACTATTGCATCACCTCTCTGTCCTCTCAGTGTTTCAGTTTTGGTGTCTAGAACATCTTCTCATTTTCTCCAAGAATACCTCTTTTTAGCCTGGGCCAGTGGCCCATGCCTGTAATCCTTGTACTCTGGGAGGCTGAGACAGGAGGATCGTGAGTTTAAGCCCAGCTTGGGTAACTTAGTGAGACCCTGTCTCAAAATAAAAAATTAAATTAAAAACAGCTGAGTATGTAACTAGGTATGTGACTCAGTGCAAAGTCCCTGGGTTAAATAATTCAGAGTACTGAGAAAAAAAAAGTACTTTCTTTACTCACATCTTTAAGTATTGATATGGTTAGTTCGGGTTTTGCTCATTTTTTTCTTCCATGTACTCTTCCTTGGGGAGAGCTTTTATTGAAAGGTATGTATATAATGTTCACCATGTGCTAGGCAGCCCTTTACAAACAAAATGGTTTCATTTTTGTGTTCACTTTCCTCATTGTGACAAAATACGCAAGAAAATCAACTTAGAAGGAGGAAAGGTTTATTTTTGGCTCATGGTTTCAGAGGTATTAGTCCATTGTTGGGTGGCTCCATTGCTTGACAACTGGGAGTATATGCTGAAGGGTCCTGCTCACTCACTCTTCACTCACTGTAGTGGGTGAGAGAGAGAGAGAGAGAGAGAGGAGAGAGAGAGAGAGAGAGAGAGCAACCATCTGGTCCCTCAGCCTACTAGATGGTGCTACTCACACATTCTGGTGAGCCTTCCTATCGGTTTGCTGTCTCACATGCCAGCGGCTTCTGGACCCCCTCCCATACATCTGGAAGTGTGCTGTACTAATTTAATGGCTATTGACAACCAAGATTAACATCACAATCTCCATGATGTAATGAGGTAGGTCTTGTTACTATTCCCATTTTATAGACTAGGAAATTGAGGCACAGAGAAGGTCCACCACTAGTAAGTAGTGGGGCCAGGACTTGGACTCAGGTTGTCTCAGAAGCAGTGTTATTTATCACCTCATTATTTTCTGCAGTGTAGACTGTGCCTGTTCTTTGGAGAATCTCAAACCTGCCTGTCAAGCCCATTTGCCTCTTGTGAGCAGCAGATCTGTACATGCAAGTGCATACTTTATACATATTTCCATCTCATTGTCCAGGAAGTACTTCCAATTGTACAAAACACAAACAGAGCTCCTTTGACTCCTTCTCTGCATGAATATCCTGTATCTCTCTTTTAGAAAATGGAATCACAGTCCAGCCAATGAAAGAGTCATAATTCTGGAGTTAACCTTGGCTCCCTATTTTCCTCTCAACTTTTATCTTCATGCTTGTTACTTCTTTTCTGATCACTGAGTAGCAGGGATTCCAGCATGTGCATAAGCCATGTTCACCACTGTGATTTATACATGCTTGGGCATATCTGATGAACTCATAGGGAACTCACTTGCATCTCTGACTCATAACACGGTGTGCAATATACTATTGTTGAAAAACAATTTTTTTTTTTGGTCCTGGGTATTGACTTCATCCTGCAGACCAAGAGTAGGCAGTGGACACCTAGTCAATTTCCCAGGATGTGAGGGAAGAGTTTACTCAAATAAGCCCTCTCCCTGAGACCTCCTCCCTCCCTTTAATATAACAGTGGAGGAATTCCAACTGGACCAAAGTCTTCCCTACAGATTGAAGCACAAGTGAAAGATTTGCAGCTCTTGGCTATGCAGAAATCTAGGGGAAGGAATGGTGTTTACCTTGAGAACAAAAGTAAAAGGATTCAGGATACATTATGAACACAGAACAGGCAAACTGTGTGGAGCGATTACCTTGGTGGGGAAAATAAAGATGATTTTTGTGTGTGTGATACCAGAGTTGAACCCAGAGCCTTCACACTGAGCTACATCCCAGGTCCTTTTTTTGTTTTTTGTTTTGAGACAGGATCTCACTAAGTTCCTCAGTTGCCCAGGGTGGGATCCGACTTGTTATCCTCCTGCCTCAGCCTCCCAGTGCTGAGATTACAGTCACTGTATGTAGCTAAAGAAGACCTTTTACTTGGTGTTGTTTTGGCAACTGTATAAGTGGTGGTAGTATGTGCAGACCTAGAGCTTGCTGCAGGAGCAAGACGTCTTTAGAGGTAGAAAAGTTCTGGCCAGGAGCAATTAAAGTGCTAGGAAATGGTTGAGTCAGCTTGGTAAATCATGGGTTTTCTTGTCAAACTGTGTGCGTGTGTGTGTGTGTGTGTGTGTGTGTGTGTGTGTGACTGTAGTAGGCAAGTGGATAATACTTAGGTTAATGATGCTCTAGGAACTAACATCACTTTCAGAGGAATGCTGTAAAGGGCAGTGGTGAGGCAAAGGCCCTTGGGAAAACATGATCAAGCAAACTGTGTAAGCACACCAAGGAAGACTTCCCAGGACACAGACAGTTGTGTCAGGTGAGAGTTGTGTCTGCACACTGGTGTTTCCTCCCTCACAGGCAGTGGGCAAGCCTGCGACTGACTGTCTCTCTAGGGACTCCAGGGCACATGTCACCTATCATAGCCACTCTCATTTTTCCTCTCTTCCTTCTCTTTTTTTAAACCTTAAGACCAAACAATGTGCTCTCTAAGAACCCAAGTAATTGTATCACTCATGGAAATTCCTTACTTATAAAAGTTTAAAAAAAATATTTTTTAGAAATCAACTTCTCACATATCCCAAATTACTTTTGTTAATGAAAATTAATGAAGTAATTCTTATATATTGTATTTTCTATATTTGTTTAGAGTCCTTTTATTAAAAATAATCACTTTTTGGGGGGGGGTTGGAATACACATTGTTCTATACAGTTTTATCTTCCATATGTGCAAAACAAATTTCAGGAATCTCAGCTAATTCTTTCCCTTATGTCACTAATTATGTTCTACAAAAATTGGCCAAGTTCTCTTTTGTTTTTTTTTTTAATGGTGAGAGGTAAAAAGAAAGATTTATTAACTGGTGTTTAGTCTATATTCCTGTTCCAGTTCTGCTTCTTAGGGGATTAGTGGAAAGACTTTCAATCTATTTAGGAGAACTTTAAGGGCTGGAGTATAGCTCAGTGATAGAGCACTTGCTTAGTGTGCATGAGGCCCTGGGTTTGGTTCACAGCAACACACACACACGCATGCACGCACGCACGCACGCACAGAGTAATACAATTAGTTTAGGTACTTTGCAGAATCTGGCAATCTAAAAATCCTCATCTGATAGGGCTGGCCCCACTTAATATAATTTGTTTTCTTGCCCCATTGTCCTCTGGGTGAAATCTAAAAATTATAACCTAACTTATTAAGGTCCTTTTTTCTCTCCTTCCTCTTCTATGCTGGAGCCAAATGGAATAACTTCAAATCTTGAACTAGCTTTTCTATTACTTCCCAGCCTATGTTCATACTGTTCCCCTAGCTTGGAACTGTTCCCTTGTGTCTTCTTCCTTCACACTTTCGCTGCCGCTT